ATTGTATAAATATGATATATAATATCAACATGGTTTATATTAACACATATCACATATGATATGTAGTTGTTCCACAGGTAGATTTAGTCCAGTTGTGTAACTGTGGATCTGACAGATGAGTTATAGAGATGTTATTGCTTTATTTCCATTCAGATGTTTTTCAGTAAACACGGGTGCACTGCTCTTACATAATGTACCGAGTACATTCAAACAGGCAAAACATGTTCCGTGACTGACAGAGGGAGATTCCCACTCACCTCTTACAGCATGGACGGGATATCCCCTGGTTTCTCAATAGCGGCCCAGTTCTCGCGAGAAAAAACAAAAAAACAAAAACCACAGCTCACCGCCGGGAGCGCGCAGTGTGACGAAAGGGACGTACGCGTTCACGTCTGCGCGCGCCTCAGCCCAGCGAACAGAACGGGGCGAAACATTTCAACGAAAGCTCGTCCAGACTGAGCTTCCTGACCCGACCGAGCGCGGTTTCTAGAGGAAGTTGTCTCCAAGCCCCCCGGCGTGCACGGAGAGGAGGGGGTTTTCTCTTTTGCACAGCTGCACCGAATTCTGCACGACAAGGGCGGCCGAAGTTTTCAGGACCGTCTCCGGGTTGAGTTTTTTCTTCTAGCAGGGAGCAGCTGCACCACACACACCGTCGTGCCACACGGGGAGGAGAGGAGAGAGAGAGGGCAGAAGTTTCCGCTGCCTTGTTTTGTCACTGCGCGGCTGGTAAATCCGCAGGAATGTCGCAGAAGGAGAGACCCACTTTCTACCGACAGGAGCTCAACAAAACCGTGTGGGAGGTCCCGGAGCGGTACCAGCACTTATCCCCCGTCGGCTCCGGTGCTTACGGATCCGTATGGTAAGCAGTTGTTGCAGAACACTGTCGAGAGCACCATTGCACAACGGCCAGAGCGGGTTCCCAGCACCCACAGAGGCCCCGTCAGAGTTATCTCCCCACGGGCTGCTTATCGGTGTGGTAAGGGTGCCAGGGGGGGAAATGTTAGCGAAGCCTTTTGTTTACGTTTTCATACTTTGGCTGTTTGGAATTGAGGGCAACCCACGGCGTGCACGCTTCGGGGTGGCTCGCATTTCTTCGGCGGGTGGGGGGTGTTTTTGTGCACATTTTTGTTTTGGTGTGTATAACTTAGTCTTGTCCTGTAAACACCTGGGTGTGTGTGTTTCACTCATTTTCCACTAAACACGCGGGCAGGAACAAGTTGAACTAGGTTGCCGGTGTTAAAAAATGCAGATTAACAGCGTTTTTTTTTGATCATCGTTTATCAGCTTCTCCTTTTGAAGAGGGCTGATCGGTGGCATGCCCATGCTTGCATCATGTGCCAAAGTGGTGCCTCCTCTCGAGATGTGATCTGTGCTCAGTAAACAATGAGGCTTCACCAACACCTAGCACAGAATCGCCTTCCACGGTAGTGTTGTAGTCCTGCACGTACAACCTGGTACTTTACACATCCGCACATTGCATGCACTAGTGTGCATTTTCTAGTTGGGTGCAGCCTGCAGAGTACCAGAAGGTCACGTGGTTTTCAGAAAGTAGGCCCCCCTCGTGCACAGTGAGAGCTTTCTATAGGAGCCCATCCGAAGAGGATGATGACTCTAGAATGATGTCACCCTTTCTCCCCGTTGTAGTACACCGATGACTCACAGTCCCGAGGTTAGGTAGTGGCCTCAGCTGTGACGCCTTTTAGTCATCCCTAAGTCGTGGATGGCATCGTGCCGTCATTTTAACTTTACTGTTAGTTTAGACCCTTCTTTCACACCTTCAGCTGTCGAGTGTGTGTGTGTGGTTTGTTTTTGTGTGTGTTTCTGTGGTTATTAGTGGTGGATAAAGGGTAAGCCATGACCTTATTTTGTACTTAGGACAATCACAGGGCATACAACAAATATGCACATCATTTGGCATTATATTCATAATAGCCTCAAGCTCTGTGTGACACTAAGTGCTGTGAGGATACTGATCATTTACACACGTCAGGACTAAAAGAGTGTTTGAAGTGAAAAAGATGTGGTTGTGTTCCCTTTAATACATTCTCTCAGATTAATCACTTTGATCTGGCTTTGGTGCTGCACAGAGGGTGGTACATAAGAACTGTAATACTGCCTGGGATTGTAAATCGATTCTGAATTCCAACAATAATTTCTAAGTTGTTCATGAACTTTTGTTAGAATCTGACTTTTGTGCGAGGGAGGACAGAATCGTCAGCAGAGCAGGAGGATTTCACCAGAGGAATTATGTATTTACAAGTGGGAGTCTGAATCCCCTGAGAGCTGGGTGTCACCTGTTCAGTTTGACCTGGAAGTGAACGGTCATCATGTAAGAGTGTCCTTCCTTCTACTCTCATAAATAAAGCAGAGACAGTGGTGTTTTTTAACCAACAGATGGAGACAGAGAGCAGCATTTGTCTGCATTATCTTAAAAATTAAAAAATGCGTTGACAGTAAATGACAAAAATCGCATAAAATTTGTTGGCAAATAATCTAGTTTTTAAGCCGTTATGGTGGAGTAGGATCAGGTTAATTTAAAGGTCTAGTGTTAGGGTGTAGTTGCTGATAGCAACGGGCTTGACTCACCCTCCCGCTCCGAAACTACGGTGTCTGCAAAAAGAACACGAAAAACCTCGTCTAGAGTCAGTGTTTAGTTTGTCAGTTCTGGGCTACTGTAGAAACATAGAGGGTCAACATGGCGGACTCCGTAGAAGACTGGACCCGCTCCCCTCCCTGTCAGATAAAAACCAATGATTCTTCATATTCCAGGTGAATTATACACTCAATGAAAACATACCCTGTGAATAATTAATTTTCTGCCAATAGATCCTCCATGAATACGTTTCACACACTGGACCTTTTAAAAAGTAGTTACTAGCTATATATCCTAGTAGCTGTTTGCTTCATTTTAATTTCTGTGTGATTTTTCTAAACCAGATGTAGGATGCAGAACTTGTATCCAGCTCTATGTGGGATACAAAAACGAAACAAATACCACTAATAACTATAAAATGATTGTGGGCTGTGGCTACATTCAGAATGACAGCATTTTCAGAAAAGGCGTGGCACAAATTCTGCATACTGGTATGAATAAACTAATCGACGGTTGGATCACCAGACAGTCAGACAGTTGGAAGCAGAATTTGGCTCAACTGCAATCTACAGTGCAGATCCACAGGAATTGAAATTTTAGGCTAAACAATATGGCATATAGGCATAAAAAATCGAATCACACATTGTCCTCAATAGACACATTGTCAACAGTCCTTCCAAAGGAGAAAAATA